ATTGCGAACCAATGTCATTGGCACTGGAGCAACTAGAGTTAGGTTCGTGAAACTCGTCCTCTTCTCTATCCCAAGGTGGAATGTGGCTGAAATAGGGGAGGTCTCTGTACGGGGCGTAATCGGTGGTTTCGTTTGCTTTCCTTCTCTTTTACAGACCACCTCCCACCTCTAGCTTCATAAGGAACGCTTTTCCACACCTATTTTATCCCGAATCTTGCCTTTAACCCACAAGCGACCGCCCTCACGCGTACATTTCGGCATCTTTTCGCATATTTTTTCATCAGTATCCGTCTACCTTCCAGGAATTTTTGTTGATAATGAATGCATTGTTGTTCGGACCCTGTAGAGTGTGAGGGCTGCTTTGAAACGAAGAATTGCCAGATAAATCAAGCAAAACTTCGCCTTTATGTAAAAGAGCTGCTCGCCGTTGGGCCACGTTGTCGTCGTTGGACTGAAGTGAATAAATGAAGCGACAACCTTTGGATTTTTTCGGTTATCAGTGCTGCACCTCGACTCTAGAACTGAATTTTTAACAAGTCAAGGTACCCAGTGCCTTCAACACGGCAGGGATTTGATGCCCTTTGTGTGATAAGTCGATGGTTGTTTGCCTCTACATATGCTCTTGAAGTATAGTTCCACATTCTGAGCAGTCCAACCAACGGAAACAGTCAGTTGCGCGACTTTTTGCAAAGAAACATCTGCAGTATCTTTTTAGAGAGGTAACACTGTACTGCTTTAGCGTCTTAAAACTGTTTTCTATAAGTCATTGGTTAATCTTGCACTGAAAAGAGGCAATTTTTCGTCCGAGCTTGTAATTCACTTCTCAAACGGCTCCGATCTCACCATGTCTGGAATGGGCTTTCTTAAATGTCAGGAAAACCTATTTCATGACGTCTATGTTGTCTCCGATTCGCATCGTTGTCTAGAATTACATGTCGGCTCGTTTTCCCTCTCGCAGTTTTTACGAACTCTTTATGACCCCGTCTGGAGGAGAAATGCGGGCATTGAATTTGTCCTCCGTTCCGCGAACGTCAGCAACTGGCTGCAATCCGTTCGTTCCTGTTTACGTTTGATAGTCGTCTGAATTTTCGTGAGCAACGATCCTCTCAGGGGAACCGGCCGCTTGGCCGCCCCTTGACGAGCTTTTTCTCGGCAGCAATGCCTCAAGACGGCTTTCGTGCCGAGTGTGCGATAAGCGAGTATTCTCGAATAATTGAGGTTAGCGCCACGCTTTCGTGTGAAGCATAATTACCAGCTCTTATGTGGTCCATACGCCTACTCGGAGATTTAATGCGTTACTACCCTTGGAATGTCTGAAGAGGATATCAGAGATTTCTTCCAAGTATGGATGACGCAGTGATGTCATACTGTACGCTGCACTTCCACTGAGTGCTTCCTTGAGATGGTGCTGACTAGAAAACCTGGTGGATCTGCTGTGCGGATAAGGTCAAGCCCTTCTCAAACACTTTTTTGCTGCTTGATACGAAGTATCATCTCCTGCTCACGTTTGCCGGCTTTTTGTCCCGCCTTACTCCGCCCATATTTCATTTCCTTTGGAAGAGCTTCACCACAAGGCCCTCTTTCACATCGCTCCCTTATTTGAGAAACTTATTTGCTTGCAAAATACTCTTGTACCCCGCAACACGGTCTTCATTGCATATTTTACATACTCCAGGGCTTCTTCTTGTAAAGTATAAATTTTACCCAAGTGAGTATGCTTACCAGTTACCCCTACCCGCGGATGGTTGGTACCTATGTGAGCTTGAAAGTAATAGGAGAATGAGCTGCAGCGCTTGGGAAGTAATACATGCAGCTGTTCTATTGGCGTTGTTTTTAAGACACATGAGTAGACAGGTGGTAATGCTGTTTTCTGGATCTTTTTTATCTTCATTATAGTTTTTCTTGCTTCCGGGAGGCTTATGCGTGAGGCAGTTGAGAAATTTCACGTAATTTTGCCAGCTCCCTTTGTCAGGGGTTTATTGGGTATTGGTCACACACAGCCTTTTTCCTTCCATCTTCTATAGACCAAGAAATAATTGAACGGGGATTCATTGTTTTAATCTCCATTTTCCTTCCCATTTTTGTCCCGTTGGCCGTTTTGGTGGTGCTGAAAATGATTTGTTTCAATAGTAGATTTTCCATGAATTTGTTTAAGCCCTAGTGGGAATCAGGATTTCAATTAGGGTGGTTCAGGTCGTTAATTCAATATGGCTGGTAAACAAGTTAATAACTTT